TAATTTATATTAATTAAAATATAATATAAATAAATAAAAAACAGAAAATAAAATAAATAATATATATTAATTAATAATTTTCTTTAAATAATAATAAAATAAAAACTAATAATAATAAAAAGATAAAAAAAACACAAAAAAAAAACATAAAACAAATTATTTGAAGACTAATTAAGGGTGCCAATGATAACTTATAAGAATGCCATTAGCCTCCCCTTTGCATAAGATAGAGTTGCAGAAGTTTAGGTTCATTGAGATGGTCCCTGTTTTGCCTCAATCAGTGAGATTGTGGAAGACGCTGGGGCACGCCTTACAAGGAAACTATATGCCAAGCCCCAAGGTGGTCGATGTCAATCAGATATTTTATTTTTGTTTACAATATATATATATATATATATATATATACACATGGAGGGAGAGACCGGGTTTCATACTAAAATAATACATATTTAGAAGAAAAAAAAATTAAGAGAATAGCTTAATCACATGTGATTTTTATATTAATATCATTTATAAAATCATATTTGATTCATGCAACATTGTCATATGACTTTGTCATGCGGTCATAGAGTCACCTGCACACCTTTTTTGCCATTAATGTAAAATTACATATTATTTTGTATTTGTTTCGGTCATTCTTGTATTTTCTTAAATATATACCATTCTCGTATAAAGCTACTTACGAAGCATTAAAAAGTTAACAAAATCGTAATGAATATATACAATATAGGTGATTGGATTCTGGGTAAATACAAGATCCAGCTTAAATTTTCCATATATATGTGTCTTAATAACAATAATAAACATCTTAATGTATTAAAATTTTAATCCATATATATATATATATATATATATATATATTAAAAAAAGTTATAAAAACTTAATATTATATTAATATATATGCCCAATATTTTTTATCTTCGTTTTTTACAAGACTATAATGTTTTCGTGAGCGTCAATTTTTTTTTTCACTTAAGGTCTCGCAACAAAACAGTACAAATGTTAAAGAAAATATGAACCTCCACGGTAAAAACAACGATAAAGGTTATTATCATAATGGCGGTGAACAGTGTGTACATGGGTTGTGGACTCAGTGGTGGGTGGGTGGCAGAAACGTGTGGTGATAAAAGAAGATGATCTTGTACTTAATTTAGTTAATTGAAAATCAGGTATCTTAATCATCAAAAATATCATCAATTTGTGAGAGAATCTAATCATCTTTTTTGAAAGGAAGAATCCGATATCTTAATCACCAAATTTTTAATCACTAATTTGGTTCTTAGTTATATGGGATTCGCCTCTATTAATACAAATTTTCATCTCATTAAAATATTAATATGCATCAGAAAGATAAAAATAAAAATTACAGCAAAGGAAACACGACGAAGGAAAGCATGTTCAAAGATACCGATTTGTTGTGTGTGTATGTGTGTGTGTGTGTGTGTGTGTGAGAGAGAGAGAGAGAGAGAGGAGTTGGTTTGTGTTACCCGAAAGTGGCGAGCTGAGCCAAGAAAAATGGGTACTGCTTCAAAGGAACCAAAGCTAGCTTATACAGCACCCGATTCCCTACTCCCAAACCCATCGTAACAACCGCCGCCACTGCGACCTCCGCCCTCCTCTTCCTCCTCCTCCTCCTATCGCCGTCGTCATTTTCCACCACATCCTTCCGATTGTCATCTTCCACAACCTCCGGCTTATCCTGTAAAGCGTACGAACAAACCGTACTACTCGATTTCCTCTTATCCTCTCCTCCATCCTCCTCCAATCGTTGCACCGCCGTGACCGCCTCGATCAACCACCGCCGATTATTCGTTGTCAAAACGATGCCTCCTTTTCGCCATTGATTTGAATTGGGGAGGAATTGTGATTCAGAGGCTTGTCGTCGTCGGTTCCACTTGGCTTGTATATTGAAATTGACGTCCGTTGATAAGGCGGAGATCCGGTGACAGGAAGCCGCCATTAACAGTAACAGTGGTGAAGGAATTATTAATAAACAAAATGAAGGGGGATCGGAAGAGAAGGGAGAAATGAATATCTGACGTGGGTCAGAGGAGACCGTCGCCGTCTCTCAATTTTCCTCCATTCTTTAATCCGAATGAAAAACTTTTTATGAAATTGAAAGTTTCCCATCACAATGTTGAATGTTCTACTATTTTATTACCTTTTTTTTCGAGAGAGAGTAAATTACAATTTTGGTCCCTATGGTTTACCAATTGTAATGGTCTTGTCTTTTATTACCTTTGTTTTTTTCAAGAGAGTAAATTACAATTTTGGTCCCTATGGTTTACCAATTGTAATGGTCTTGTCATTACGGTTTTGATTAACTATCATGATTTACAAAAACGGTCGGCCCTTTATTTAATTGATGCTAATTGACGATTGAGAAGTTTGAAACGTATGTAACTTAGTTGAGGAGTTTGGTTTAGTGAAGGAGACCATTTAGGGTGGGTCGAAGAAGGGGGACGAGTTTCGATTGGAAAGGGGGTACATCGAAAAAGATGGGAAGATGAGGGGAGAGGAGGTAACTTCAGGTAGATGCTCTTGTTGTAGATTAATTTTGATGACAAAGTATCGTGTGAGAAGAAGAATTAAGATGACAAGTGTAAGAAAAGATCTGGATTCTTGATCATCTTTAATCTCAGACCCATTCATGAATCGTTTTTGATACGAGGATTCATTCGGTGCATCTTATCTCGGTATATCTCATCCTAATATGCATTCAATGGTGAAAATCATTTTTACGCTTCTCATTTTAACTCTCATTCTCACTGGAGGTCACCCGAGTTTGATTTAGTAAAGATAGAGATATGGGGGTGGGTCGGTATGTACACCATGATGGGAGATGAGTTATGATTGGAGAATAGGGGCGAGGTTCTCGGTAAATACGGTTTTATGTCATTTGTGTGTCTATTTGTATGTGTAAATGTATAATCATATAATTAATATAAATTAATCAATTAATTTTATTATAAAATAAAACGAAAGAAAAATATAAAAATAACTAAAATACCTTTCATTTAACAAATTTTTAACGGTATTAGAAGAAATAATCAAATCTAAACATTTTTAGAAACTATGTTGATCAACTTGTAGTTTCAAAATTGTAGAAATAAAAACCATTATAATCAGCAAACTACAGGGACCAGATTTGTAGTTTACTAAAAAAAATTCTTTACTCTTATAATATTCTTAGAACAATTACAATTGTAATTATAAATTTTTTAACATTTTCTCACGTGTCTACTTTATAAAACCAAGTGACATGCATGTTTAAATACAAAATAACCATTCAACACTTTAAAACAGTCGCATATTATATAAAAAGGAAAAGTTTAAAAAAATTTAATAGACTTTAGTATTTGAAATGATTAAGTTTTTGAACAATTTTTGGAACAAAAGAAGTCCTTGGACATTCCAAAACATGTTAAATAACTCATTGTACTTTCTAAAACCTGTTACATACATCCTTATAACCTATACAACTGCTTAATATGATAAAATAATGGAAAAAGTCCGAAAAAAAACCATGAACATTCATATTTTGAACGGTTAAGTCCCTAAACATTTTTTGAACTAAAAAATATTTAGATTTATAAAATTAAACAAATATTTTAAAGTACTTACATTTACAGAAAAATATTTACATTTAAAAAATATTTTTAATTTATTTAATTAAAATAAATTCCATAAGTAATCATTTTTAAATTTTTTTATTTTTTTAATTTGGAWAATCATATACAAAATATATATATTTTTTTTAAATCATAGACATAATATCTTTTATTTTTAATTAAAATAAATTTCATCAATAATCTTTTTAAATGTAAGTATTTTTTTATATTTGTTTTATTTTATATAATGTATGTATTTTTTGGTTCAAAAAATGTTTAGGGACTTTATCGTTCAAAATATGAATGTTCATTGATTTTTTTCATGTTTTTTTCTATTATTTTACTGCGTTAATTAGTTTTATAAGTCATAAGGATATATCTAACAGGTTTTAGAAAGTCCAAGAAGTTGTTTAACATGTTTTGAAATGTTCAATGACTTATTTGTTCCAAAAAATTATCCAAATACTTAATTATTTCAAACACTAAAATCTATTGAGTTTTTTTAAACTTTTTTCCTATATAAAATTAAGGATTAATTGAAAACTACCTTACACTTTCAACTGAAGCATCATAATTATTTTGTATTTCTCATGTTACATCAAAATGAGACATCTCGTTATGTTTTACACATATACTTTTCATATTATTAAATATTTAAATATAAATACAACTTTTTAAAACTACATATTAAAAAATTAATTATCAACTAATAGACATATTTCAAATATATAATAAGCAATGATCTTTATTAATAAATCAAAATACCCCAACAAACTGATAACCAACGAGAAATATTTTTTTCACTCAAATAAGAAATAATAATTATTAATAAAAAAGGTTACTTATGCTTTAAAATGCGTCGATAAATGAAAAAGTTATGTTTTTTTTCCGTTGTACTGTTCCAACTCTATTCAGCTTTTATTTGATCAAGGACATGATGAATATATCTACTCTATAATAGATAACTTATATTATTTACAATGTAAAGTTATCATATGTTTTTAAAAATAAATAAACAACATAATTTAATTAAAAAATTTAGTATGATTGATCAAATATAAAAATATCCATATAAAAATATCCATAATAAAAGGAAATACTAGAAAGATGTGTGAATCGTAATCAAAATTACTAATTTGAAGTAGGATTGGGTGTCGTGAGAAGAAAAGTTATGGTGAGAAGGGTAAGAAAGAAGCTAGATATTCGGATCAATCTTAATTGAAAATCAACAATAATAAGATACGTCAATATGCACTATGAAATTAAAAGTGATAGATGATGAACATCCCTTATTACGTTTTTCACATTAATTTTTTTTTTTCGTACGATTTGTAGTGTTTTGAAATAAAAGTACTAATAGGGTGTTTGAGATTGCTAATTTGAAACAAATTATGTTTTTCTACAAAAGTGTTTATCAACTTATGATAAGTTAGAAGGGTTTAACTTCTTCAAAAACTCATTATTACCGGTATAAATTATTTATCCAAATACTCAAAAATACTTATTAACGCCGTAATAAGTCAATAAATTATTTTTTATAAGTAATCCCTTTTAACACTTTTAGAAGGGTTGAAAATAAAATAGAATAAAGAATGTCAAGCAAAATGGTTATAGAATAAAGCGGTCTGCAAAAATGCACGTTCTGAGGTGAGACTTAGAGTTGAGAGGAAGGAAAATAAAATTTTAATGGAAATGGTGGGGGTTCCGTCTCAATGCTTCTCTCTCTCAAAAATAGTGTTTTTGTTGGGCAATACCTCATCTTCTTCTAGTAATCTTTATATTTTATGATTTTAAATTTTGAAGTAGAGAGGATAAATAGAGAAATTAGTTTAAATGATATTTTTTATTTGAATTGATTTTCTAACAATTTTTTTCTGTTTTAATTCAAATGTTACTATATTCGTAATATCCAGATTCATAATATTGCGAGTATAGCTAAAAGACAAAAAAAAGATCAAATTCAACCAGTTCACCGTTACACTTACGGATCTGGCCTTCATGATTGTATATCTGTGTTGAATTTGATTTTTTTTTTTTGCCTTAAGCTAGGTCAACCATGTATATTGTAGAAGTAACGACATTTTGGTCAACCAGGAAAAAAAATGGTTAGAAAACCATTTTGAATGAGGGAAATGGTCATTTAACTCAAGGACTCGGATAAATATTATATTATCTGAATAAAAATATTGGTATATAAACTCTCTTGAATGATATGTTAGAAGGAAAGTTATTGTGAGAAACGTAAGAAGAAATCTGAATGTTTGATCACTTTTAATCTTATGCTCACTCATTAATTACGCTTTATGCTCACTCATTAATTGCGTTTTAGAAGGGAATTAATCCGTTGTATCTCGGTGCATCTCATTAGTGTTAGACATTCAATTATGATTGATACAAAGACGAAGATCTCTTCTTACGTTTTTCGCCATAATTTTTCTTCTCACCAAAACTCAACCCTATAAACTTTAAAATGAAATTCAACTTTGGTTTTATGTGGTTTGCTAAAAAATTTGGGATTAGATTTCTACAATTTTTTACTTGAGGAAAATTTTTGTTGTATACAAAACTATTTGGTTTTGATCCCTTGGCTTTCAACAAACACCATTAAAAATATCCTTTATATTGTAGATGTTTTTTATTTTTCTTCAATAAATAAATAAATAAATATGATATATATTTATGGTCTCAAATCATTTGATTTGATAATCTATATTATATTATATATGGCATTTGCCAAAAACTCTTAAAAACCATTTTTTATGCATGAAGTACTGTTTATTGATGCATATTACTTAAAATTTAAGATTACAAGTAAATTTGCATAAGTACAACTTATTAAAACTTCATTTTTAAATTCGTATAACTAACTGCAGATAAATATAATCAAATAATATTCATTTTAAATAGATAAAATTAAAATATAATTAGGATAATCATTGAATTATAACTGAATCATTATATTTATAAAAATTATATTGTTAAGTTAAAAATAAATTACTTCTTTATTTGACCTAAATTAAATTATAATAAAAAATTGAATTAAGAAATTGTACAAAAAAGTGAAAACTTTTAAATAGTTAATTTGATATTAATATCGATATATTTTTTCAAACTTTTATGATATTTTCAAATGTATTTTTATTCAAAAGTAAAAACATTATTTTCCTCAAAACCACATAAACCATATTATACAACAAAAACAAAAAAAACATTAAAATGAAGATGTATCTTGTTGCATTGTGCGGATACCCTTCTAGTTATACAAAATACACCTGATAAAATACTTGAAGAAGATTTAGAATTTTTGTCTTAAATTTGAAATACAAATTAAGGATCATATTTTAGCTATTTTGGATTTGTATAAAGGTTGGAATCTGAAACGTATCAGGATTCGGAAATCTTCAAGATCCTAAATACATTAAGGATCCAAATTTATGTGATCTGAAAATATCAAGATTCAAAAGACTTGATGATCTGAAAACTCTTTATGGATTCGAATCATTCTTAGGTGCTGAAA